AAACCCTTACCCTGAATATAAAATTTTGGGTTACTTCCATTTTATTAGTAATGACAAAATGGTTAAAAGGAAACAGTTAAGCACCCATATTATCCACTAAAAAATGAGTTGAATAATGAACTTCTTAAAAACGGGTCAAATATGGATAAGAACCATATTATCCATTTAGAAAATGAATAACCAATGAGTTTAACTTTTATATTTGTAAAGCCTCAAATTGAGGGTTTCTCAAGTTTGAGAGACTAGGAATTCTCTAAAAGTGATCATATTCAAGAAGTTATGGATAATATGGTTACCCATATTATTCGCCGGGTAATCCATTTTTTATCCGTATTAAATATGAGCCGGGTCGGATAATTTATATGTTTCTCATTACCCGTTTTCGACCCGAACCATATTCGACCCAACCCACTCATTTGCCACTCTTACATTTTATGATTGACATCATTAATGAAATACCTATATTATTCTTTTCTTTTCATATTCATTACTAGAAAATGTGATAAACTTCTATAGTCCCTTTTTTGGTGTCTAATAGTTCAAATCTCATTTTTAATATTTCTCATCAGAAAATGTACATTACACTCTTATACTCTCTTTCTTGGTTTTTGCAAACTGTTCTATAAAAAAATAAAATAGTTTTTTTTCCACAAGACCTGAAGAGTACTATTGAATACGCTATATCGCGCATTTTTAATATTTTTTCCTCACGTTTCAAGCATTTGCAACAAGTATACTGAAAAATTAAATAATTTTTTCGATATTAAGTAATCAACTTCTTGAATCTGGTTCTACTTCCTAAGATCAACAATATCTTAGGAGAGATAAAATAGTTTATAAAAGAAATTATAAACAACTTTACATTTCAAAAAGTTAGAAAAAATAGACTTCGTTTAAACAAAGGTCTTCGATTAAATTTTGACTTTAGGCCTCCAATATTGATGCACAACTACTGGCCCTACATAAAGCGATTCTGAATTAGTCGGTCCATTAAATTCTGAATATCATATGATAAAAACTATTTCAAAAGTATGAGAGGTGATCGATGTATAGCAGAAGTTTAGAAGTATGTTACTTTCATGTGTGAAGGATAATTCTTACAATGTGGCCTGTAGGTATGACATGTAAACTCAAAACAATTAATCACCCAAAAATTAATCCAAAAATTGGCGGTTTTGGAAGAGGAAGGTTTACGGACAAGAAATGGATATTGGTTTAAACTTTAAAGTAGTAAACTCAGATTGAGCGTATGAGTCAAACTCCAATAATTGTTTTAATTAAAAAAGATATTGTATAGCCGCTCTCAAAATAATAGCCGAAAAATATATATTTTTTGTGTTTATATACCTTCTGTATATTATATATAAAAATTATACAAATTTTATATATTTTTCGGCTACCAAAAGTAAATAGTTTTCGGTGGGGGCTAAAAATGAAAAAAAGCGCATGGAGGCATGGCCCATTACTGAAAGCCAGTTTTGCTGTACACAGGGTCGACCCCTTCTTTTCCAAAAATGACACCAGTTTCTACAAAGGAACCCAAATTCATAACATTTTAGTTTGATTTCCAACATATTTATCACTTTTTCGGAACTTCCACGCGTTGTCGTACAACTTCATCGCTATTATTGCATATTTTAATTTGATTAATCAGATGGGCCATTTAACGCACAGTAACACTAAATTAAATTGTGGCACGTTTATTGAGTTTTCCCCAAAAGGCTAAGAGGTATAATTGTCCAAAAATATCAATCCATTGTCAGTCTCATTTTACATATGTTATTTTACACTTGGTGTCACATGCGTTAATACTAATAATCATCCTTGTAGGTGGGTTGTAAAAACTTTGCCAACTTGGGACTATGACGAGAGTTCTATAAAACAGAAAAGAACTTAGCTAGAATCTAGAGAGTATAATTTCTTTCTATCTACCTAAATTTTGTTGAAAAGAATTAACTAGTATTTATACAGGTAATATATAAGAGATATTCAATAAGTTAATTTTTGTGCACGTGAACTAATTTGGATACCACCATTTGTATAGAATATTTCATTTGTTGCCTATGCTTTTTCATCAACCAATCTCCCATCTCAGGGCATTTTTATTAAGTAGGCTCAGGGATCACTAATTATTGGAATGAGCATATCTCATTTGTTGGCTCAGGGATCACTGATTAGTCGAATAGGTATATCTCTCTAAACTATTATTTGTTGGTCCAATCGGCTCTACTTTGATTAGGGGGAAATTCAAAAATAGCCAGATTTATAAGTGGTCATTCAAAAATTGCCACACTTTCAAAAGTAATCGAAATTTAGCCACTTTTCATGTAAAGATAAATCTGAACGAAAACACTGTTCAAAATCCGGAAAATACTCCAGTATATTATACTGGAGCTCCAGCATAAGTATACTGGAACTCTAGCATATTATACTAGAGGTTCATACACAGGTGCTCGAATCTCCAGTATATTATGCTGGAACTTTCCATGTGTTGGAGTTCCAGCTTAATATGCTGGAAGTTCATATACAGGTACACCGAACTCCAGCATATTATGCTGGACCGGTCTCTGTTGCAGCAAAATAGTGGCTATTTTTCAATGACTTGGCAAATGCTGATTATTTTTCAATGGGTTGGCAAATGCTGGCTATTTTTGAATGACCAGTCCGAAAACTGGCTAGCCCGTGCTATTTTTACCTTTGATTGGGAGAGAGGGAAATGAAATTAAGAACCCGTTTGGACATAAGAATTTTTTTACTTTTTTTTTCCGAAAAATTCACTTTTTTTCGAAATCAGTATTTGGCCACAAAATTTTTAATTTTTCACTTGAAAATGAATTGAAAAACTCCAAAAAGTTATTTTTCAAAATTTTCACTCAGATCACTCACAAAAATTCAAAAACAACCCAAAATTATATTCATGTCCAAACACAACTCTAATTTTCAAATATTATTTTTAATTATTTTTTTTTTGGAATTTTATAATTCTTATTGTCCTTGAAATGAAATAGGTATAGTCTGCCAGGCCCCAAAAATTTATCTGCTTTTTGTCAAACAAGGCTTATTGGGCAGTGGCGAAATTCTAGGACTGTCAAAAGAAGCACTGCGTCAGACGAATGAAGGAAGGAGTAGCACAAACGAAATCGGGCCTTGTAGCCCAAATTAAAATCTGGGTCCGTTTTTATTTTGTCGCATTTTAGGACCATATATCCAACGCCAGTAGAGAAGAAAGGACATGAATGAATGTAGTAGCTCAAGCTGAGTATTGATTCAATGACCCTCATGGCTTCTGCAATCTCTGCTCCTACTGCTTCTTCTTCACTATCATCATTCACTAACAGAAGACTTTCTTTGACTGCCCTTTCAAATTCTTCCATTTTAGCTCCCAAAGTTCAGTTGTTGAAGTGGATTCCTTACTCGGGTCTCACCCCTTTCTCTTCTTGGAATGGACTGAAGCAACTCTCCATTTCAAAATCTCAATATTCAGTACAAATTGGTATGGGGTCTTTGCTAATTCAGCTCCTTTAATTGTTAGTCAATACCAATGGGACTTTTCTTATTATTTTCTTGATTTATTTCTCTTCATTTTTTTTACCTGTGTGTGTGTGATTCTTGAAGTGATTGTGTTTACAGGAAGAAGTAGAAAACATAAAGGGAAAGGTGTTTATGCATCTCTGTTTGGTGTTGGTGCACCTGAGGCACTAGTAATTGGGGTTGTGGCCTTGCTTGTGTTTGGCCCTAAAGGTCTTGCCGAGGTTCGTTCCCTTCTTCCCCCTATACAATATCGAGGACCTTTTCTGTCCTTTACTCCATTTAAGGATGTGCAGAAGTCTTAAGTTAACTGTATTATTCTTATAGACCCTCTACTTAAGTAGAAAGATAGTTCCTTTTTGTTTTGTTTTAATCCATGGGTATATGTGGAGTTGCCAGCTGAATTAATGTAAATGGAGGTAAAATAGATCATCCTAAAAAAGAGGGTTGGAAGTCCATTAGCTCTAGAGGTAGGGGAAGAACCTTCCTTGGTAGTTTATGCATTCTCTAGAACTGTTAATTGCCTATTAAATTCTTTTTTATATGCTTCGGATATTAGCCAAATGATCTTTCATGTGCTTAAGTTTAGGAGGGGTGTGGTCTAGCATGTAGAATAAGATGGGTAATTGAATGCATGCAGTGGTGGATGCACCTAAGATCTTGAGTGTACAAAGGTTTGCAGTGGTGGATGCACATAAGATCTTGAGTGTACAAAGGTTTTAGGCAGCGTTAGCCCATTTGGGGACTGTGATGGCTACACAGTGAAGAGATATGCCAGCGGCTTAATGGGATGAAGTGGGACTTCTCACTTCTGTGGGTGTTAAAAGAACTAATGTAAGTTATGAGAAAATTAGGAAAATGTACAATCTCAGTCAAGAGAGATAAATTGAACATTTCATGATGAGGTCTTGTGCTATTACAATCAATTGCTTACTAAGCAATTTTCCCTTAGGATTCTGAAGGCTTTTCTGTAACCTAGATTGGGCGTGAGCCGTGATGCTACAGTCATTTCTTAGTTATCCACCTATATGAGGTGGAGTTCTTTGTGGTAATGCTGGAGAATGGCTAGGCTTTCTCTTTTGTTGGTCCAATTTTTGCCGCAAAAATCACATTCTAATTATGCTTTTGATTCTGCAGCTAAAATTTGGGGATTCTGAAGTTGTGAACTTCAAATCCTTCACTTGGGTTCAAGTACACCAATATAAATGTAACCTTGACCATACTACCAGTTGTTTTTCTGTAACAGAAGAATTTAGCACGTCTCATTCAACTCTAATATCTAATGAGAACCTGAATTCTGATTTATTTTCTTACAAAATGAGGTTTTCTGCATGTCAGGTTGCTCGTAACCTGGGGAAAACTTTGCGTGAATTTCAACCTACTATCAGAGAACTTCAGGTTGGTCCTTGTGACATTTGTCTGAGTTTCTTTGTTTCCTTTATTTCTGAAGCAGGTTTTGATTCTCATGGTGCTCTTGTCTTTTGCATGAAGGAAGTTTCAAGGGACTTCAAGAGCACACTTGAGCGAGAGATTGGACTTGATGACATTAAAGGTTCAGGCCAAGACACAATTAAGTCTAGCACAACTTCAAGACAGGAGGTTGATCCCAGTGAGTCATTGTGCCTTTTATTATTAAAATTAGTATAGTTTTATTTTTATAATTCTCAAAAAGTCTTCAACTTCTTGGATGTTTTAATTATCATATCAATGGTGTAGATGTTATATCGATGCGAGATAGAAAGTACTCAGCATATGAGTGTACTTACCATATTAAACAACCTTCGGTATGTGCGCACTTTTTACTTTAGATCGAGCGTGTTCTATTGGCATTATGGTAAATATTGCAGTTTATAATTTGCATGGGGAAAGAAAGCCAGATACCACTAATATGTAGGTTAAAACACGTTAAGATTGCTGCGTTGTTTCGCTATGCTAGAGTACGCTTGCTGCTTAATTAACGGCCTTGTGATTTTGGAATTTATCCTGAAGATAATATTCTTTATTCTCCCAAGTGAGGTAGAAATTGGATTAGTTTAATTGTAGTTGTGCCTTTTAGTGTTGCATATAATTCAGAACTTCATTTTGTGTGTGAAAAATGCTGTGTTAGGGTTGGGAATTCATCAGTAGTGTTGCAAGATTCGATCTTCATCTCCCCCTGGTAAAATTTGTCAGTAGAGGTGGTCTGATCTTGTGCCAACTGTATTTTATAGGGTTGGTGTTTGAGAGTTCTGGAATGTTTCTTGTTAAACTTTTGAAAGCTACACTGCGCTACCCATCCAATTCCTCCACCAACGCGAATCCCAGTTAGATTCAGGCATGATACACATTGCGTGCAATTATTAATTATACTAGCTACTCTGAGAACATCTCACATTCTTTTGGACACACACTGACCAGAGACTTGTGAGCTCAGCACTCTGACAGCTTGACAGAGGTCTCTTATTTTTATTCATATTTGGACCTACATTTAACATTGACCATAGAATATTGACTGTCGTGTGAATCTTGCTTTTACATTCATTTCCACTTGGATTAAAAGGAAATTCTTTACGGAATGTATGCGTTTGAGAGGGACAGAAGTTGGGGTTTTTTCTTGTACAGGTGTAAAACGTTAAGGGGATGCATGAAGAGTTCATGGAAACCTAGGGCTCATTTCACACATTGCCTTTCCAAGATTTAAGTTTAGTTTTTCTAACTTTTGGTCCTTATCTTGAGCCTCTTTTACCAACTATTATCCATAGCCTTCTTCTGTAATTATTAGATTTGTCATTATGTCATTGAAGAAGCAAATCAGGTTTCCATGCTCATTTTTGTTAACAGACTAAATAATCTTATATCCTGTGAAGGTATTTCATTATGTAACTCTTACAAAAATGGCAGATGGTTCTCCATTGCCAAGCATAGCTTCCTCAAGTGAGGAGGACATGGAAAGGCTGCTGAGAATCGCTGAGGCTGAAAAACAAGCTGAGAAAGACCTTGCATCCTTACTTGAAAGTCAATCTGAATCCCAAACTGTGTCGCAAGGTAAGTAGATATGCAAAATAAAGTTCAGAACTCCATTATTTTAGATTTCTACTATAGCCAACCATGGTTGCTGAATTTCCAATACCTGGTTACTGCATCTATTTGGATATTTTGTCACTCTCGTTAGTACAATAAGCAATCCGCTGCTCGAGTTCTTCTCCTTTACCATTAATTTTCTGGTATGAAGCAGGGTGCATTTCTACTAGACGTGTTCTGCAAAACTACTCGAGTTTTTATGACATATTCTATCCTTCTAATTGTTGGTTTGTTCATCCTTTAAGGAACTAACTGGTGTTATTGTTTCTGAAGTAGCAGATAATTCTTCTTCAGCATACTCAACTGAAGATTACTTGAAGATCACCGAGGAGCAGCTAAAAGCAGCTGCTCAGCAGCAGAATGAGACATCTATTCCCGAGCAAAGCTCCTTCAACGCCCAAAGCCTGTCGCAAGGTTAGTAGCGTGCGCGCATAGAAAACACCTCTTAAATTGCTGAAGTCCACACACCTGGTTACTCTAGCTATGCTCCTGCTGGAGTTTCCGGAAAGTGATTTATTTCTGTTTGGGTTTTTATTTCGTCATTAGTGCAATAAGAGATCCAATGCTTCAGTTCTTTTCTCCTTCACCGTTCAAGTTTCTGGTTTGAAGCAGGGTTCATTCCTACTAGTTGTGTTCTGCAAACCGGAACTGATACGACATTCTATTATGGGAGGCAGTTTAGAGTTTTTTCGACCCAATTTGTTGTTTTATTCATCCATAGGGAACTAAATTGTATTATTGTTTCTGAAATAGCGGATAACTCATCTTCCTCAGATGGAGCATATTCAACTGAAGAGGTTTCGAAGATCACTGAGCTGCAGCCATCTTCTCCCCAGCAAAGCCTCTCCAATGCCCAAAGCCAGTCGGAAGGTTAGTGATTTGCGCATAGTAATTTCCTTCTCTCCCCCTCAGCGTGTTCTGATGTTTATCTTAACTGCATTATACTCCAGAAACTCTGAAAGAAGCTGCCTCGGCAATCCCTTCTTCCCAGAAGCCTGAGAGTGAGACATAGGGCAGTTAACATTGCGATTGTGTACTGTAGTCCTTGTTATTTTTTAAATGATTGAATATTGTAGTATTATTATTCTTAAGATGCTTTTTGAACTTGGAGATCTTTTGCTCGGAGAAACAATTTTGTACATTATAGCCATTGGAAGAGTGTTGTATCACATATCACTTATTAGTCATACTCTGTTGTATATCTCTGTATGGGTTAAAATCTGATCAAGGGAACCTTGCCTAAGAGAGGGCAATTAAGAGTCGATTAGGCCGAGGTCATGCTTAAGAAGTAACATTGGCGAGCCGAGCAGTTAAGGTTGAGGTTGAATACTCACATCGGCCAAAAAGGCTAGTTTAGTAATAAGATATTTTAAAGGAATATTCTATAGAATATTCTACAGAATATTCTCTGTACTTGCACTTTCAGTAGGTAAGAGATATGTCTCATATAAGTAGGAACAGAGAGAGAAGAAAATGGGCATGTAATATTCTATATGATAAGCTCTCTCTAGAAAAATTGACTCTCAAGTAACTACAAACATTGTCTTTACAAAAGATTCGATTTGTTGTTGGTCCCAAGCTTTCTCACATCAAATCCGAGAAAGTTTTCTATATTCCCACGTTTGATTGCCTTACATCATTGTCAGAGAGAGAATCATCTACCTCACCGAATATTTGGGTGAATCATTCTCTCTATTTACATTTATTGTCATTTATCATATTTATTGTTTGTCATTATTCCCGCATTCATTCATAACAATATCATTAAACACCCCCTTGATATTTAATAGCCTTGAATGCGGTTTTCACATTATTGACGTCTATTAATCTCAGATTTAGATTTATTATATTTAACTAGGATTTGCCATTATCATCTTGTTTAATTAGTTTAACAAAAAGGCTTAACACTTTTTGGTCAAACAATTTGGCGCCATCTGTGGGGATTTTCTAATTAAAATTTTAGTTTCTTCTAGATCTAAAAAAACGTACAAAACTTTGCAAAATCCCATATTTCCTTGTTTGCACAAATCTGACATGTCAGGCAATGGAGAGGAAAAGAGAAAGGCGATAGCTGATCTCACCGCCAACCTCCTCGACACCATTAAGGAAGTGGACGAAGCGGAGGGTGAAGACATAACGCCAAACACCTCTTCCAGGAAAAATGGCTCACCTTCACCTCTCGGTGGCGTCACGGCCTCGCACGGCAAGGGCGCCTCTACATCCACCACAAAAGAGGCACCACCAGCAGTGAAAAAGTTACTTGAGGCATGGTAGACAAGTACGCTAATCGGCGTCCTCGACAAGCCCGCTCGAAGGTCGAGCAGGGAAGAAACAAGAGCTAGTGTTGCATCAGCAGCTGACGAACAACATGCTCCCCCCGCGTCAGGTATTACTCACAATGTTAGTGATGCAGGTATTGACACCCTCACAACTATTTTGAGGAAAATGGAGGAGATGGAAAACGAGAACAAAATGCTCCGTAACCAAATGAAAGAGCACCAAGAAAGGGTTGACAAAATACCAGGTGTCCCAAAACTTCTGCCAAAAAGAGACGCCGGTCGGTTCGTCGAGCAACCATATAGCGACGAGGTTGCACCACACGCCATACCAAAGACCTTTAAAATGCTGCCCTAGTTGAAAATATATGACGGCACGACGGACCCAGAATATCATGTGACCCACTATGTCACTGCAGTAAAAGGCAATGACCTCGCAAAAGAACAAGTATCATCCATATTGCTGAAGAAGTTTAGAGAAACCCTAACCGGGGGAGCCCTGACTTGGTACTCACAGTTACCTGCCCGTTCCATAGAAATGTTCGAGGTAATGGTAGACAAGTTCGTCACCGCCCACGCCTGGGCCAAAAAAAGCAGAGGCGAGGGTGAACGACATATTCCCCATTAAGCAATCGCTTGGCGAAGGGCTCAGGGACTTCCTCGCCCGGTTCAACCGTGTAAGAATGACCTTTCCAAATATATCTGAAGGAATGGCGGTAGCTGCTTTCCAGAACGGGCTAAGCAGAAGTGGGTCGCGGGCGACCAAAAAGTTGCTGACCCGACTCATGAAATACCCTCCAATCACTTGGGACGAGATACACAATGCCTACTGTGCCGAGGTAAGAGTCGACGAGGATGATCTCAACGGACCTACCCAACGTCCGACCTCGGTCCAATGGAGTCTAGGAAAGACCGGAGAAACGAGAGCAGAAGGGATCTAGCTGGACCCTGGCCTAATCGAGAAGGACATCAGCCTTATGTCAGAGGCACCTTCATGCCACCTCCACGCCACGATGAAGGTCCATCCAGGTCGCGAACAGGAATTCACCGAAATGAGAGAGGTATGCCCCCTTTATTATCAGCTCACAGTTTTTGTGTTTCCCCTCAGAAATAGTCTACGCACTAGAGAAGCTCGGCCTAAAAGTGAAATAGCCACAGGCGATGAGATCCAACCCGAGCACCAGAAAATCAAATGTCCTCTACGAATTCCACCTGGAATAGGGTCATAAAATCGAGGACTGCATCACCCTAAGACAGGAGGTCGTGAACATGATTCACCAAGGTCACTTGAAAGAGATGATGAGCGATCGTGGGAGGGCCAACTTTGCCCGGGGACGGAACAACACCAGGGTCCGCCCAAACCACCTTCCCCAGTTCGGACCATTCAAATGATCAATGGAGGCGGCGACGACGCATCTATCAATAGTGTGAAGTTCATCGCCACCCATAAACTCAAACAGTCCATTACCCACGAACGGTATGACAAACTCGAGGAAAGTATCATCTTCGATAAGTCAGATACCCACCGTTTGGTCTTTCCTCACTATGACGCTCTTGTCATTACCTTATATGTCTTTGATACTGATGTAAAACGTATTATGGTCGATGATGGAAGCGACGCGTGCATCATCCATCCTCACGTTCTCACCCAAATGAAGCTCGAGGACAAGATAGTGCCACGTTCCATCATGCTGACAGGCTTTAACAATGCAGTTGAGCGGACATCTGGAGAAATCACACTGCCTGTCCTTGCTAGCGGCGTCACTTTGGAGACCACATTCCACATCATGGACCAGGATACGACATACAATGCCATCATAGGCCGACCGTGGATACACGCCATGAAAGTCGTCCCCTTCAGCTTATACCAAGTCATTAAATTTCCCACCCACTGGGAAATATTTTGCATCCGAGGAGAGCAACGCACGGCCCGAGAATGCTACCGCATCACCCACCCAAGACTGCACATACACCCAACACTTAAAAGGAAAGATCGAGGAGGCATAGCAATTAACAAAGTCGGGGTCAGATGGCGATGAAAGGTAAAACGTCATTAGAGACCCTATAATCATAGAAGCCACAGGGTCAACCATAAAGGACCTCGACCCGGTCCAACTAGACGACGCCAACCACAACAAGAAAGCTTTCATCGGCCATATGCTCCAAGATCCACGTAAATTTCACCAATTCTTAAAAAGTAACGTAGACCTATTTGATTTTTCCCATGCAAACATGCCAGGTATCCCGAAGGAGATAACAACTCACAAGTTGAACGTCGACCTGTTTTACCCCCTAGTAAGGCAAATTAGATGAAAGTTCAACTCTGCAATAAATGGCGCAGTTTGCGAAAATGTCAAATTTTTTTTAGTGAACAGCTCTATCAGAGAATCGAAGTACCCTCAGTGGGTCGCCAATGTGGTCATGGTGAAAAAGAAGAACAGAAAATGGCGGATGTGCATAGACTTCACAGATCTGAACAATGTATGCCTAAAAGACTCGTTCCTGCTGCCCCATATCGACCTACTCATCGACGCCATAGCCAGGCACGAGCTGCTAAGTTTCTTGGACGCCTACTCGGGCTACAGCCAGATCTCATGGAGGAGGAGGACCAGGAAAGAACCACTTTCATCACCCACGAGGGGACGTACTGCTACATGGTTATGTCGTTCCGGTTGAAAAATGCAGGGGCAACATATCAAAGGCTAGTGACCAAAATGTTCAAGGATCAACTCGGCAAGACCATGGAAGTATATATAGACGACATGTTGGTCAAGTCAAAAAGGAAAGAAGATCACATCGATCACTTGAGGGAGGCCTTTGACATACTTAGAAGGTACAACATGAAATTGAACCCCGAAAAATACGCCTTCAGCGTCGAGGAAAGTTCCTCGGCTTCTTGGTATCGCAACAAGGCATCGAGGTCAACCCCGACCAAATCAAGGCCATAGAAGGAAACCCGGAAAGCTTAACTAGCAAGAAACATGTACAGAAGCTGACCAACCGTATAGACGCCTTGTCAAGATTCCTATCACGGTCCTCCGATAGGTGCCACAAATATTTCGGCATCTCAAAAAAGATAACGGTCTCCAATGGAATTCCGAGTGCATCGACGCCTTAAAAGAACTAATGGCCTACCTGTCTTCGCCCCCGCTGCTCGCTAAAGAAAAACCTGGAGAGCGTCTCCTTGTCTATCTGGCCATGTCCGATGTCGCAGTAAGTGTAGTCCTGGTACGAGAAAATAAAGGTACGCAGTCTCCAATCTACTACATTAGCAAAACTCTGGTCGACGCTGAAACGAGGTACCCTCACCTCGAGAAGCTAGCCCTTGCCTTGGTCATAGCTTCACAAAAGCTCAGACCCTATTTCCAGTGCCACCCCATCTCGGTGGTCATGACTTTTTCTCTATGGAGTATCCTGCACAAACCTGAACTGTCGGGTAGATTGTCCAAGTGGGCCATAGAGCTGAGCGAGCACGATATAACCTATTAGTTGCGAACGACGATAAAGTCACAAGTACTTGCCAACTTCGTCGCCGACTTTAGTGCAAAGCTAATGCCCGAAGTCGAAAGGGAAACCGCCAGTACCTCCACCAAAATGCAAGACCAATGGGTTCTGTACACCGATGGCGCTTCTAACACGTAAGGATCTGGACTAGGACTCGCGCTCGAGGTCCCAACAAGCGAAATAGTTTGCTAGTCCATACGGTTCCCTTATGTGACTAACAATGAGGCCGTGATTGCAAGGTTAAAATTGGCACTCAAGTACGGAGCACGACGGGTAGTCGTACGATGCGACTCGCAACTCGTCGTCAACCAAGTCACATGAACTTTCCAAATCAAGGAAAAACGGCTACAGAAATACCAGGCTGAAATTTGCAAACTGTTACCTGATTTCGACGAATGCAGCTCGATCAAATACCTCGA